TAAATTCATGATTTTCTTACTTTTTTCATCACTTTATGCTTATTATTAATTGTCATTTGTTTTCGGGGGAAAAATGTTCAAATAATTCATTTTAAGTGCAATTTATAATTCAGATTAAATTAAATGATAACATATTCCGTACTCAACACTCATTAGTGGCACAGAATTGCATTCACGATATTCTGTACAGTATTTTGTACTAAAGTTTTCCCATTGAAAGTGAGTGAATATATTTGGGTAAAGTTGTACATTGGGCGACAAAAGTGCATAAAATTTTCCCTACATATCAGTCAAGCTTACAATGATATATTAAATGAGAAATTAACAAAGAGATTGAACTATAAAAGCAGTTTTAATTAAACCATTAATTATGAAGTGACTGTGAGATTGAGTATAAAATACTGTATGAAAAAAGTTGATTCATTTGATGTGTGTGTGCCTACAGTGCCGACAGTGGCTACAGTACCTACAATGCCTACAGTGGCTACAGTGCCATCTATACGTATGGGTGGCATTGAATGACTCTTACTCCAGCACTCACTCACAGATTCATACATTGAATATCCGTATCCTTCGCTGTAAACGCCATTTGAATTGAATGGTAAACTCAGTGTTGGTTGCATTGAATACAGAGTTTCATAGTATTAACGCTTGTATTGTATTGTATGTGGTATTTGGCTATCAATTACTTTCCCTGAAAATACCGTATTTATATGACATTAATATAATTGAATACACGATTCGTTTGCAGTTATATCACTACACGTAACCACTTCTTGTAGTGACACTAAATCCTAATTATCACTCAATCGTCTGATTGTCACAAAAATACCGTATTTATATGACATTAATATAATTGAATACACGATTCGTTTGCAGTTATATCACTACACGTAACCACTTCTTGTACACTGTGATTTAGGATTAATAGTGAGTTAGCAGACTAACAGTGTTCTTTACCGACTGATAATGCTCTGATACCCTCTGCACAGCCGTAGGTTACCCAACCGGTTTCGCTTACTACTCCTGTCCATACTCATACATCCCATTCCCCGACGTATAGCACTGCATGTGTCCACCACTATATGTATCATAAATGTGTGATACTATTGTCATTGATATCTATATGTATTGATTGTGTAATTAAGTTGTTGTTTACGAGTCACTCATGTGAGTGACGATGTCTTTGATGATGTCTTTGACGATATTTTGTGTCCATTTGTTTTCAGTTGTCATGTCTTTTCGCACATTTATTACCACTTGGTTTTGATTTTTATGTTATTTACGATATTTTTCATGTTTTTATGTATCATTTATCTCCGATTCAACTGAAAATATCATGTTTTTTGTGTCCCAAAAATGAGACATTTTTGAGTTTTTGATTTTCATATGAATTATGAAATTATCATTTGATTTCATGGACTCATAAGTTTTAGGCATTAATTCACTGTATATTTAAGACAATTAACTGTAGCTTTTAATTATGTGAGCAATTATAATTAGTGGTATTGTATATTAACATATATATATATACTATATAATAATTGTTGGATTATATATATATCCTATTTGGACATTCAATTTAGACGTGTATTTTAATAATGGTTTGAAATGTTTGCCCAAATGTTTTGCAGGCTTTGAAATTGTGTGCCAACTCTTGTGGGATAATAAACCGCTAAATGAGAGGGAAATGAGAGTCAAAACAATGCAATCATTTCATATGATTGCGGCTATTGTTGAGACAAATGTCGACCCAAACTGATTGGTCCGCACTGTTAGGCCAACACTTGGAGTCCGGCTCTTAAGACACACAACAGACATAACTATCACTTCAAATGTTGGTATGATTTACCAAATGGTAGGACTAATGGACTAATCAGTTGATAGTTTGTCTAAAGCTTGCTTTACATGACTTTATATATATCTATATATTTGATATATTAATAATTTAATTGTCGTTTAATATTTAGTGGTTTTTTCAATTTTTATGTTTGATTTTAATTAGTTAACATTTAGTCGTAAAAAACACATTTTCGCTAATACTGTGAAAATTAATTGCTTTTCTCTCTAAACCATTGACTCATTGATAGGAAACTGTTTTTGGGAGGACTCAGTTGGGACACTGAAGAGCGTATGTATCCATTACTAGAGTCCATGCATTGGTTGACTACCAGTCCATGCATTGGTTGTGTCACTGAATTAACACCAATTGTTTGCCACTCATTGCAGAGGATATCTTGAACTACTTCAGTAAGTTCGGCCAAATCGCGAACGTCAACATCAAGTACGACAGTATGACCGGAAAGCCCCGCGGCTTTGGGTTCATCACATTTAACAACACCTCGTCGATCGATCAGGTCCTGGCTGGCGGTCCGCATATGATTAAGAACAGAGCGGTCGACCCCAAGAGACCCCGAACCAAACCGGCGTTCAAAAAGATATTTGTTGGCGGAGTGGACGCTGACATGTCTAAGGACGACATTAAAGCTTACTTCGAGCGCTTCGGAACGGTATGCGCGTTGATATCATACGTGAGACTAGTTTTAGCTGAAAATACTAATGAGATGTATGTGTGCCGTACAGGTGGAGGGAATCGAGTGTCCATTTGATAAGCAAAGGGGGCGAAGGCGTGAGTTTTGTTTCATCATTTTCGACACGGAGGAGGCGGCAGAGGCGGCCGTGTCTGAGCCCAAACAGCTGGTCGGCAATAAGGAGTGCGATATCAAGAAGGCACAGCCGCCACGATTTCAGGGCGGCGCCACCGGTGGCACACCCGGCGGCTCGCGGAATGGACAGCAGAGCTTCAGCAGCGGCGGGTCCTATGGCGGCGGTGGTGGTGGTGGCGGCGGCAGCCGAAACGGTTGGTCCGCCGGCTATAATGACCGGTCGAACGGCTCGTGGAATAAGGGTTCGTTCGGCAACGACGGCTCGTACGGCGCCTACCCTTACAAGACATACACGAACTCTAATTATTATCCGCCGAACTATTAGTGAAAAGCATTTTCTAATCAAACGTAACCCAATATATCCTATAATTCATTGTAATGTAGTTTCGTTTGAGGTTTTTTTATTTTAATTATTAATTTCTCTGTAATTTCTATTCTCTTTCTCTGAAACACTTCTGCGAAAACTGTACGGTTCTCCTAACACAGCCCCCACCCCTTCCCTCCCTCTCTATTCCCATATATTTTTTCCTCATTTGTTTAATTCATAAAATGAAATAATTTAACAAATATTGAGCACAAGATTCCATAAAAGCGTCGATAAGTCTTCGGAAAGCTATTTAAATATAACTGTATTTTTAAGTGTAATTTTTGAAGACTTTAAATAAGACATCATTTGCTAATTGAGTTGAGTTGTCATCTTCTTTCGATGAAAATATTTATGTTTTCTTTAATATTAATTCTAATTATTAATATTTAGCTCTATTTCTGATTTTTTATATAATTATAATTATCGGTTAAAATTTCATTAAGAAATGAGTGAAACAAAAACGTTTTTTTTAATTGTTTTTAGCATTTATTGAAAACAATTATATCGATTAATATTATGATTTTAATTATTTTTAATCTATTATATGATAAGCATTATAAATGAACGAAAATTTAAATTTAAATGTATTACTAATAAACAAAAGTCGATCTCTTTGTAAATACAGTATAACGCGATTTATACAGTATTTGGTTTGATTTCAAAGCAATTTGTAGTTCAATATAAGAATCGATTAAATATTGATATATTCAATTTCAATTTATATCTTGATTATTTCTGGCATTAAAATTAAATTATTTAGTCTAAACCATTGTGTGCCTTATCATTATCACCCGGAAAGTAGTGGTCATCTCAACCGCTGTGAGATTTTGGGCATTCATTCAATGAATGAGTTTTTTATGAGACGTTATGTATGAGTGAGTGTTGACACCGACTGTGACGGTCGTGTGATTTGTGACTCAATCCACACATATAGTGACACTTGACGTGTGTTGGGGTTCTGTGCGCTAATCACTCGCTTCGCTGTAGAACTGTATGAATGACTGGCAGTGGGTGTGAGAGAGTGCGCGCATTCATTGGTAACGTTGTGTGCGTTTGGCTCTAAACCGACAAAATCGCCATATTTTGCACAATTGTATTGTCTTTGGCAACGAGTCTTCAAGTGTTACCTCTTGTCATACAAATCCAAGACATCATCCGTTGATATCTCGCGCACTCGTGTGACCCGCAATCGCCGCGAAGACACGGAACCAGTGGTGAGAATGAGTGACAACTTCGCCGAAGACGAGGCCCTGAGTCTCAACGCTTTCGACGAGCAAAACGCCGACAAAAGCTCTTTGAATGGAAACAATGGTAAGTGTATTGTGACGTCCAGTGGGAAGTGCTTTGCCGGTGATGTGTGTTAAGTGTATGTCTTGCCATCGGTTTAGAGAGCAATGATCTGAACGAAAACGACGACAACAGCAAAACGGACGAAGAGTTTGACAGTAAGGACGACAACAACGGCGACGACAGGGGAGGCAATAGTGGCCTCAAATCCAACGACGATGAGGACAGGTATGAGCGGCCCCTCCGTCCCACCACTCTCTCAGCCCTCCCTATACTCTAATTTATAGTTACGTTTAGTTGTCTATCGATTCACTCATCGATTAATACTTTATTCAGACGTTTCTCTCGCAATCACTCGACCATTGCTTTCAAAGCAAATGATTAGCTTTTGATGACATTTAATGCAATGATTTTGTTTTCAATATCACTTAACATTCATTTTGTTAATTATTACCAATATTTAGTAGCTTTTGTTTCGATCGTATACAGTATTATATTTTACCGTATATTGCAATCAATGAGAGTTTTTTCAATTTGTTTGTTAGCAGTGATCAAACACTGGTTAGTGATTATCAATAGGTTTTATGTATTGTGTTTTTATTTGTTAAGCTTTTAAGCGTTAACTAACAGCCATTTGAATGCATTGTAAAAAACTATAAATTGGAAGCAATACTAATGACAATTGAGGCAAATATTAGGCGATGTTTTGCTAACAAAGTCTTTTGCAGATCTTCTCCAACTGCTGTGGAAATTATTTCCTCTAAAAGTAGTGTTTCCTGTGTTTTTGAAACACTATTTTCGGCCAATACTTTGATTTGAATTGAGTTTTT